TGGAAAATAACTAGTCACGAAATGTTATCATTATATGTAGTAGACTAGTCAATATTTTTATCTTCAGTTCTCTAAATTTAATTTTTTAAAAATTAAATTTTTGATTTTGTATATTTTTTTATTTTTAGTAAATGTTTTTAAAATTTTAATTTTTTTTTTTATTTTTTTAGATACATTTTATTTAGATATAAATTTTTTAAAGAAAATTAATAAATATACAAAAATATAAAAAATATACTGAATTTTTATTTTTATATATATATATTTTTTTATATTTAATGAATTTTTTAAAGATTTTTTTCGCAAATATTATACTTTTTAAGTGTACTATCGTTTATTAAAATACTAGTGTATGCCCGTTCCTGAAGGCACGGTCTAAATAATGTTAGGATTAGAATATAATTGTAATCCCAATACTATTTAAATTTGTTTTTTAATTTGATAAAATTACAAATTTATTTTAAAATTTTGGAGTTATCACAAAACTCTTCACGAAAATTCGCTTTTGCTTATATAATATATAGCTAGATAGATAGATGTGCCTCGCATATATACAATTTTCACGGACATACATACAATACTACTTTTGCCTATATAATTATATGAAAATTGTATGTATGTCCATAATGTCCTAATGTATTATGAGCATACAAACATTATATGAAAATATGTGTAAAATATATTGAACAAATAGAAGAAAATAAAATAAAAAAATAAATAGAGAGAAAAATAAAAACGGGAGAAAATAAAAAAATAAAAAAAAAGAGAGAGAGTAATGTGGGATCATGAGATCATAGAAGGATGGTGAGAATGAGAAAAAGTAAGAAAGAGAAGAAGCAGGAAAATAAAAAATGTATATATAGGATATTTTTTAAAAAATATATTTCAGTCATTGTTTTATAATTTGAATAGATTTGAGACGTTCAAATGTTCTAGTAGGACAAATTCAAAAACCATCATGTTTTATTATCTAGATTTATATTAGGGATTGTATGGGGAGCAAATATTCCAACGAGTCCGTACTCCTTTCTTCCAAGCTCCCTGCCTGTTCGATCGACCTGCGAACACAACGGCGGTGAGTTACCCGGCAGTGTGTGGCCGAAAAACCCCTCCGACGGTCAAGTTAGCACACACTCAGGGATTGAGAGAGAGATGAGAGAGTTGAATGTCTAAGTGTATCTCACCAAATAATCATCTGCCCCAGCATGGGGGGAGCAAACACGCTTATATACCTTCTGCGCCCCAAATCTACTCCCATTAATCTCTCGACCCGTGGTGCTGCTATTCCATCTGTCGGCACAAATCCAGCAATCACCACCTAACCAAACTGTCAAGATATCTTGGCGGATCCTGGCTGACCGGCGGAATCACCTCGGCCTCACACGGCCGTGCTGCCCTGCATGCCCGAATGGTCACTAGCCGAGCTTCACACCGACCGAGCTTAGTTGCATTCCGGTAGAGTCGAGCTCGAAATAGGTCACGCGGATAAAGCAAAGGCCTTCCTACCGAGCTAAAGGCGCGAGCCTTCCTGCCGAGCAACTCAAGTAGCACGGTTCCCACCTGTGCAAGTTCAAGTAGCTCGATCTTGGGCTTTAGCCAAGCAGCCCCATCTCCGTGCAAGCTCAAAGCTATCCTGACCCAAACGCGCTCGGCCTTCAACTTGCCCGGCCGTTACCATGGCCCATTTCCAGCTCATAAAATCTCCCTCTCAGGTATGATTAAAAATTTTAAAATTTACTTAAAAAATTAAAAGAATTCAATAAAAATAAAAAAATAAAAAAATAAAATTTTTTGAAAAATAAATTGTAAAAACTAAAACTAAACAAAGTGAATTATATTATAAATTTGTCTTGATAGTCCAACAAGGCTAAACACCAAAAATATATAAATATAAAAATAATAACAATCGGGAATTCCTCCTCCCCTCTTCCTCTCTCTCTGTGTGTAAATGTATGTATGTACATTATTCAATATTTTGCATCTGTTTTATATCCTCAATGTTTTTAATGTAAAATCAATGTCAAAAATTAACTTTTTTACTATGAACATAAATGTTCAACTTTCATTCCCCTCCCCCATCTTATTTAGAGAATCTTATTGGATAAGAGAGCCACTATGGTGATCATCACAAGGAGGTTTATCATCACAAATGAAACTATAGCCCCGTTTGGAAAGTTAACTATTTTAATTTTTGGATATTTTAATATGCTAAAATTTTTGTATTTGAGAATAGATTTGAATTTTTTTGTAGTTGGATGTGATATTTGTAAGAAAAAAAGTGAAATGATTATAGATTTGATATAATATTTTGTCTTATTAGTTATTTTAATATATTCTTTTAAGTTAACTTTTATAATGCTATTTTTCTTATGTAATATTATCGCTCTCATTTGGTTTTGCCCATTCTTTTAAGTTAACAAATTACTTCAACATCTCTCTTATCTCCTCCTTGCCACCTCTTCAATTTGCCTATCCTGATCAAGATTGGGGCAGGGATGAGACACCCTAAACCCAGCCTCACTCTATTACCATCCCTTATATGTATATATTGAGTCACTCCATTTTACATTCTTTTATCACTTTTAAATAAGAAATATCTTTTGTAACTTTTAAATAATAAAGATTTTAATTGAGAAAGTTAAGCCCCTCCTAAAATCTGAACTGGTGAGTAACTGTATTTTTTTTTTTTGGCAGTAAGAGCACCTTGACAATCACACACGCATTACATTTGTCAATCTGCCCTCATCTTTGAATGATTAAGAAAGTCACACTCAACCCAATTATATGCTTTATGCTGTTGATTTATATATTTATATATATTGACTACAATTTTTTATCCATTACTTTGTGCTATAAGGCCACATTTGTTACAAAAATTCTTTAACCTACATTTCTAACCTAATACCACTATATTAATAATCTTCTCACTCAATCCTACCGTATTCTTAATCCCCTTTGTATGGACATAAAAAATACCATATTTGATGATAAAGAAATCAAACGAAGAAGATGATTAGCACTACCACGCGATCGCCATCTATAAGACAAAACACTTCCAGCCGTAGTCGGGAGCCCTCCGACGCCCAAGTTAGTGCTCTAATATTATCAAAATATTTAATAAACTAATTCACAGAGAGAAATTGTGTACCTTAATCCATGGGGGTGGCCTATTTATAATATCCAGTGACTTGCCTCACAAGTAGTTTTAATGTTCCAGAAATCCTATCTCAAATAATCTCTAGTTGTTCAAGATTTCTATATCGATAAGATTTCATGTCTTGATGAGCTTTGTATAACATAAAACACTAATGTAGTGTTTGATAAGAATTTGACAACGGTCCACGTGACAATGCCTAGACCCACATAATTCTTGTGCTTATTTTTATTCCCTCCCAATTTCCTCAAAGTTTTCATTTTCTTTGAACCCAGTGAAAGAGTGGAAGCTTTCTGTTGTTCTGATAAAAATATTCATGTAATAATGCTTAGCTAAAACCATACATGGGTGTTAGGGCTTATTTCAAAATGCATAACCTTAGTAGGACTTATTCTGAAAATGTCTAGTTTTGCTGAAACTTATTCCAAGAATGCCTAATCTCGTTAGGACTTATTCTGAAAATGCCTAATCTCATTAGGAACTACCAAAACACTAGCAATCCTGCTCAGCAAGGAATCCCACTGCTAAACAAACCACCAACCTACTCTGCAAAGATTTTCAAAGTTGGTCAAGCCAGTCAACCTACTTCTCCAAGTAAAACCCACTCGACAAAGATTTTCTAAGTTTGTCAAACCTGCCAACCTACTTTCCCAAGCAAAACCGTTCTACAACCGTACCTTTTTGCCTTCAACGTATATATCCCGTACACTTGAACGGTTTCAGCCACTGTTCACCCTCTTCGTTCACAAACCCTAAACTCAGTGCTCTATTTCTTCCTCCCATCGAAGTACAATCCAATACATTTGAGTTTGCAATCATATGAGGAGGCGTTCTTTCTATGTCTCACTAAGCAAACTAACTCAGTTTACACTAACCCTGCCAACTTTCTTTGGTCGAGATAACTATCTTAGTTCAAAAGTTTAAAAATTTGTTGGTCAAATTTGTCAACCCGTGTTGGTCGTGATAACTATCTCGGTCAAATAGTTCAAAAAAGTTTGTCAAAGCTGCCAACTTTCCTTGGCCGAGATAACTGTCATCTCGGGTAAAGAGTTCAAAAAATTGTTGGTCAAACATGCCAAACTGCTTTGGCCGAGATAACCATCTCGGTCAAACAGTGCAAAAATTCTGTTGGTCAAACCTATCAACCTGCTTTGGCTGAGATAATCATCTCGGTCAAAGAGTGCAAAAAGTTACTGGTCAAACCTGTCAAGCTTCTTTGGTCGAGGTAACCATCTCGGTCAAAAAGTGTAAAAATTTGTTAGTCAAACCAACTAACTTTCTTTGGCTAAGGTAACCATCTCATCATTTTTTACCCAAATAATTTATTCAAATATATTCTAAATCCAGCAACATATCTGACCAATTCACACGCTTGGTATATAAAAAATTTTCGTGGTCAGAGTAATAATACATAAAATCCATACTCCATAGACATCCAAAATCTGATACAATACATAATAAAATATTTTCATGCACAGAGTAATAATACATAAAATCCATGCTCTGCGGATAATAAAAATCAAAGATAATAACAGAAAATAATGCATATAAAATTTGCAAAGTAGGTTATGGTTGCCAACAATGCCTGTCGCTGAGCAATGAAATAATTAAGTTATGCATTATTCTAAGCAGCCTACTAGGTAATTCACTTTCACAAATGAACAATTGTAAACCCAAGAGTTTTCGTTTTTTTTTTTTTTTTGCAAGATCTGATGTATCGTTCTATTTTGTATAATGTGTAGCCGAGGCCATTGATCCACTATGTATTGTTGACGATCCTTGTGACGAAGGCCCTGTCCTTATCCAGAAAAAAGCTTATGATTGCATAACATTGAGTGAAACACAC